TGTCCTTGCCCCGCGTGGGCGGCGTGGGTGCAGCGGCCGCTGCCTTGTCGCGGGCTCTGGGCGAAGGCGAGCTGGGCTTCTGACGGGGAGAGAGGCAGAGAGGGCACGGAGGGGCGGAGAGAAACAGAGACGGGCAGGGATGGGCCGGGAAAACAGCGCAGAGAAGTGGCGATGGAGAGAGGTCGAGACACGGAGAAGACGAGGAGACGCAGAGAGGAGAGGCAAGGACAGCGCCAGGGAGAAGAGAAGCAGAGAGGAGCGCACACTGTTCCCCGCGCCTGCCCTGCCTCTGCCTCTCCTGAGTGTTCACTTTCTGGCCTCAACAGTGCAGCTCATGCAAAAGGTTCTCGGCATGCAAAACACAAGAGGGACGGAGCGGTGGGGTGGGAGCCGCAGGGGAGGGGGGCTCCAGGACGGGCACCGGGGCTGGCATTGCCCCCCCCGCGTGGGATGGACGATTCCCGGCAGAGAGAAGAGAGAGGGCGGCACCGGGAGGCCGGGCCAGGGCCAGCCCACCAGGCCCCCCAGCGCAAGGGGGTAGGCAGAGGGGATGGAGGGGTCACACGGCACACAGATGGGGGTGGGGCGGGGCGGGATAACTGAACTCAAAACTGAACCGAAGAAAGGGAGGAAAAAACAGAAAGAAAAAAAAAACAAAAACCAAAATCCACAAATGTCATTAGATACCAAAATCAAAAACAATGATCTTCTGGGAAACCTGACATTTTTTTTCTGTAAATATTTTTCTTTCTTTGTTCTGCGGCCCTGCAGAGAGCTCTGGAGCTGTCAGTAGCACCCGACTGTCTTTCTGTTTCTCTCTTTTCTTTTTCTTTTTTTTTTTCTTTTTTTTAAAGTTCTGATTTTTTTTTAAGTCCCTCTTGGTTAACGTCCACTTACCAATAAAGTGGCACTTCCTCCTTTAGTAGGTAAGGTGTGTAAGAGAAGGGAAAAGTGTGGTAGCATAAGTTCATCATTAGATTCACAAAAATGCAAGAGAGATAGAGAGAGAGAGAGAAAAACGCAACCACCCCATTCTAGGCCTCACTGCCTCGCCTCTGCCTTGGGAGGATCAGCAGAGCCTGGCTCCTGGAGCCTGAGCCAGTACCTCTTGGCTGACTGCTGGATAAAGATGCCAATTTTTTTTTTCCTCCAAAAGTGGAGTTAGGACACAGGGATCACGATACTGAAAACCAGAAAGGGCACATGGTACCATCCAAAGGGCCCTGCCACTACCTCACCAAGGGACCCTGCCCAAGTCACTTCCCAGTGTGGGGCCTCAGTTTCCCCATCCATAAAGAGTGGGTTGGCTTTTGCTTCCTGCTGTCTCTTCTGAGGCAAATATTCCAGGATTCTCTGCATGCTCCCTGATCACCCTCCCCTTCCCACTTCCTGCACGGAACTGACCCTTCCTCCTGTCTTTGGACCCCCATCTGGTAAGAGGATGACATTCATCTGTTTCAGTTCTATCCCCCCACCTCCCCTGTCACCAACAACTTGACTTAGATCATCTCCAGGGCAGATCTGGTATCTGATTCGGCTCTATAACCTCAGTTTAGGATAGAACTTTTTTGTTTTTCTTTGAGATGGAGTCTTGCTATGTTGTTTAGACTGACCTCAAATTCATGATCCTCCTGCCTCAGCCTCCCAAGCAGCTAGAATTACAGGTGTGCACCACTTGCCCGGCTTTAGCATGAAGCCTGATATCTAGTAAGACCTCAATACTGTTTGCTGAGGAAGAAAGAATGGCCCTCACAAGGGCCAGGGCCAACCAGGGAGTCTTAGAAGAAGCTGGCTGGGGTTTAGCCCAACCTCTTCCTGCCAGAAATGGGAGAAGCACTGTGCCTTTGGTGTGCCCTGGGTACTTCAGTGGGGCAAATTGTGCCCAGACCTCCCAAACCCAATTAGAGCCTAGGCAGTAATGTAGAGTCCAGGTGAGCCCTACTGGTGGAAAAGCACATCTGGCTTGTGATTGGTGGCTGAAGCAGCCAATGAGTGCCAGCCATAGCTAGTGGGAGCCACTATCCAAAGCCAATGGGGCAATGAAGACTTCTCCCAGGAGACCCCTGTGCTTTTAACTGTGGCAGAGGCAGGCAGAAGTGGGCAGGGTGAATGTAACCACCCTGGTGGATTGGTGTCCTCTGAGCAGTCTTGCCATTCCTGCTCCCCAGCTCACCCCTCACCCTATGCCAGGAGCTAAAGGATGGGTAATCAGCTGTGGTCCCTCTGGGATGGCAGTTTCATTCTTGTTTTGATTTTGGTCCCGGGGATTGAACTCAGGACTTGGCGCTTGCAAGGCAGGCGGCCGCACCACTGAGCTAAATTCCCAGTCTGGCAGTTTCATTCTTGATAGGAGACACCTTAGCTGTCTCTGGCCAGTGCCTCTCTGCTTCTAAGACCCAGCCCTAGGTTCTCCTTAGGAGGAGGCACACGAGGGAGATTCTCTGGGATCCTCATATTTGCAGTTTCAGTCTTATGTGATCAGAATGCCAAAAAAAAAAAACCCCAAAAAACAAAAAACCAAAAACCAGTTATCAGGTGAGGGCTTGGGACCCAGTGCACAGTATCAACAAGTGGGCACAGGACCCCTCCTTTTAAAACCACCTCGTATCGGGGATCAAACTCAGGACCTTGTGCTTGCGGGGCAGGTGTGGTGACACTGAGGTAAACCCCTGGCCCTAAGAAGTCTGCTTGCTACTCTGCTTAGGGGAAGCAGCACGGTGAGCAGGCAGAGTACCACTCTTAAGAATTAGGACCCAGATGCGGGCCACGGTTCCAATCCAACTTCATCATTACTATTACTGTTATTGGTCCTGGAAATTGAACCCAGCCCCTGGCATGTTAAGGAAGAACTGTACCGTGGAGCTGTACCTCCACATTCATTTTTACTTTACTTTGAGGCATGGTCTCTCTAAGTGGACCAGGCCAGCCTAGAACTCAAGATACTCCTGCCTCAGCCTCTTGAATAGCTGAAATTACACACGTGCCCGACTGCCTGGCTGAGCCAGTAACCTCTGACTCAGGGAGGGGCCAGCAGTAGGGGTAGGAAGACCAGAGCCCTGGTGTTCCTTCCCACAGACACACAGAGCCCTGTTGACTTCGTACTATCTTGGGCTGGGAGCAGGGTACAGTTTCAGGAAAGGAAAGGTCTGGGTGAATGGCTGCAGACACCAAAATAGTACTGTTCTCAGGCATTGAGGTCCAAGACCCTGCTGGGCCAGATCCTTGCCCTGGGCTGGCTTCTTCCTGCCTGGTCTTTTGTCTTGTAGTTCAAGTTTCTCCCCAGCTTCCCTCTTGCCATCTAGCCTGCCCTCACCCACTGTGACAATAATTGGCAAAGTGGAACAGCCTGGGTTCAAGGTGATTCAAGTTTACTATACCTTACAGAAGTGACCTAACTCTGGGGGCCTCAGTTGGGGACAACTGGAGTCTTTGCTGGGTTGGCTTGTAAACAAATTCGGAGGCATGTGCCCTCACAGACGAATAGGGTCAGAGCAGTGCAGGGAGGCCTGGGGCACCCTGAGAGTGTTGCCCGAGGCTCAGGATGGCAGAGGATGGGAGGAAGGTGCCACTGGGCAGAGTGGCAGACAGAACCTTCCCTGGAGGAAGACTCCCAGGGCCAACCTCATGTGCTCCCCTCACGTCTCCAAAAGTTCTCAAGAAAAGGGTCACCATAATCCTGCCAGAGGCTAAGCTTCATCTTCAGCTTGGCTGGGTCCTACTCTTTCCAGGATTGAAAGAAGATTGGAGGTCAGACACCGGGATCCATAGCTGGGCAGAACTGTGGTGGCCAGAGGCCTCCCACTGTCGCTTCCAGGGAGCCTGCCCTTTGTGACTCTAGCTCCTCTTTCCCGGATCCCAAGCTTCCCACCCAGCCTGGCTGGTGCCTGTGGTCTCCTCGCTCCCCTAAGTTCCTGCTTGCCTCCCTGGAAGCCTCTTCTGACCTCTGGGCTGAGTCCAATTCATTCTTCCATAACCTCCCCCTGCCCCCAGCACCTCATCCCTTCCTTCTGCTTGGAATCTGAGCCCCCACCATGCTGGAGCTGGGCTGCTGCCACCAGCAGGAGTCGCCCCCTTCCTGCCCCCCCTCATCACTCTGAACGGATCTTTGTGAGTCCTTCAGCCAGGGTGTTGGGGCCATGAACCCAGGTCAGGGCACTCAGAAGGGGCTCAGCAACTTTGCCTAGTGTATGTGTGAATGTTTGTTTGTTTGTTTGTTTTGTTTTTTGAGACAGGGTCTCACTATGTAGTTGAGACGGACCTGGAACTCACTATGTGGCCCAGGCTGGTCTTGAACTCACAGCGATCCTCCTGCCTCAGCCTCCCGAATGCTGGGATTACAGGTGTGCGCCACCATACCCGGCTTGTGAATGAATGAATGTGTGAGTGAAGAATGAGCGACTTCGCCTCCCTCTGCGGCCTGCTCCCAGGAGTCCCTCAGCTCGCTGGTACCACCTGCTAGTTCATGTTTTTTCCTTTGGCTCATGTAAGAAAAAATTTGAGGGTCAAAGGGGAAGTCAATGGAAGAATGTGGAAAGGAATGGTGTTCTTAACAAGGACAAGGAAGAGAAAGCATCTGGGAGGCTTTGGCCTTGCTTCCCCCAGGGCTCAGACACCTACACATCTCTGTCACTCAGTGTTTGCGATCCCCTCTGTGTGGTCCGGGGTCCTCTCAGACCACCCTCAGGCTGGGACACTGGCCCCATAGCCTAGGAGAACTTCTCCCTCTCCGATGAACAACTTTCTGTCTCTCTCCCAGCACAACCAGGACTTGGGGATGGTTCAGCTCCCAGCACCTGCCCGGTTAGCAAAGCTGAAGATAGAGGCCCACAGAGATGCCACCTCTCTGTAGCTGTTCCTCAGTGGGACAGGATATAGTTAACAGGGCAGGGATGGGGACGTGGGGTCCCCAAGGGTCTACCTCTGACTCCAGTACCCTCACTGTGGTCAGAGTAGCACTGGGCTGGGAGTCAGAATTCTTAGGGCCTAAACCTGGTTCTTCCTCAGTACGCTGGGGGACCCTGGACCCTCCTAACTGTCCCTTCTGGATTCTCCTGCACCAGTGCCACCATTAAACTGGTTAAATTCAGAAGACAGGAGGATGCTAGTGCCTGTAGCAGCCCCCGTCTGTGTTGGGTAGTGGCCCAGGTAAGGGGCAGGGAAGAAAGAGTAACTCTACCCTGCAGAGACTTTGCCAGGTACCCTCAAAGTCCAGCACCTGCTCTTGGTCTTCTCACTCCCCGATGCTCCCCTTACTACCCTTCCCCAAAGATGGAACTGTTGGGCTCAGTCCTGGTCCCATTTGGTGCCCAGATCCCTGCAGGGCCCACATCTGAGCTCCGTCCTACTGCCCAGCTGGGCCCTGGGGGCCCAGGGGGTGACTAAAGCCCAGGGCTGGCAAGGATGAGGGTGGGGGGCTTAGCAGCTTATTCCAGACCACAGAAATCAAATCGGCTCAACCGCGGCATACCGTTCAGGAGGGACACAAGTCTGGGATGCGAAACCATAGAGAAATGAACAAAATGACAAAGAGGAGCAGTGAGGGGGACTTGGGGCTGGAGAAGGAGAGGCAAGGCGGGAAGATGAACCAGAAAAGTTGTGGGCGGTGGGGAGGGGATGGAGTGGAGAAAACCAAAGGACAAACCGGGAAACACAGCTTCGTAGCTCATTTTGGAGAAAGGGCAGAGATACAAATGAGCCATCACTAAAAAGAAATAAAGAAAAGGGAGGAGGAAGAGGTGCACCAGCCAGAGAGAGGCTGGGAGAAAGAGAGAGAAAGAAAACCACATTCAAACCAAGCAGAGTGGTGGGGCTTGTCTGAGATGGGAGCAAGCGCACAGGGGAGCTGGGATACCTACCTTCTCAGCGGTCAGGGACAGGAATGCGATAATAAAAAAGAAAAGAAGTCTCCGCATTGGGAAGGCAGGGTGGGGCCTCCTAGCCGCTGGTGGATGGGCAGCCAGGGCGAAGCATGGCTTTGACCTCGGGGATGGGAGGGAGCTCTTGCCCAGCCAGCTTTGTTCGCTTTTTCATTTTTTTTTTTTTTTTAAATTTTAACCGCAGGCTCCAATAAGCCAAGCTTTCCTTATTATTATCACTTTTAACACAACAGAAACCCTCCAGAGGGCATGCAGGAAGCAGCGGATGGAGGCAGAACCACAGGTGGGGAAAGAGAGGCTGGCAGCATGGGGAGAGGCCCATGTCAGGGAGAGAAATGCAGAGAGACAGTGACAGAGAGAAAGGGGGAGAGAGGGCAGGGGAGCGGGGAGAGGCAACGAGACAGACGAGTGGACCCACACAGGAAAGGAGAGAAAAGCTGTTTAAACAAGGCCAATCGGAGTGGACAGATGGGCCGGGAGGGGAATCGCATTTAAAGGGGAAGACAACCACCAGTTCAGTTTGGAGTGTGGCTGCTGCCTCAAGTCAACCCCACTCCTCCCTTTCCCATAGGATTTGAGCAAAATGCTTTACTTTCCTTTTTCTTTTTGGTACTGGGGATTGAACCCAGGGCCTTCATGCTGAGCCCCGTCTTCAGCCCCCTACTCTTTATTTTTATTTGGGGACAGGGTCTTGCTAAGTTGCCCAGGCCAGGCTCCAATTTGCCACCCTCCTGCCTCAGCCTCTCATAGTCCTTGGAATTATAGGCATGCACTACCATGCCTGGTTATAATGAATCTGTTTTGCCCTCTAGCTTTGCCCTGGGAAACAGGGGAGCATCCTGGGAAAAATGCCAAGCTGCCCCCTCCTGCTGTAACTGCCATGCTGCAGCTGTGGCCACTTCTTCTTCCTGGAGGAGGAGTGGGAGGCCTGGTGGCAGATCAGGGAGGGCCACAGCACCTCTTCCCCAGGTCACCCAGGGTGCCCACCCATTGTGTGATGACTTATGGGCCACAGACAGCCCGGAGGTCTGCTCATGAGCCTTCTCTGCCACCATCAGCAAGAGCTCTATCACCAAGTGACACACCCTGTTCTCTCCTGACACTTGTGATCCGAGGGACTGGTGGAGGATGGGTGGGTGACCCTTCTTCTGTGAGGGCAAACTCTGCATTCCGGGGCAAGACTCACACATGTTTGTGCTCACGGGCCGCAGGGAGGCCAGCAAAGGTTTTGAGTGGTACTGGATGGAGGGACCTGTCCCATGATCCCCTGATCAGCGCCCCCTCCCTTTTTTTCTTTTCATTACTGGGGATTGAACCCAGGGTCTCACACTCAACTATACACCTGGCCATCATCATCATCATCATTATTTGGTACCTGGGATTGAACTCAGGATTTTGCACTTGAGAGGCAGGCTGCAGCACCACTGAGCAATATCCCTGGCCCTGTTTTATTATTTTGAGACAGGGGACTCACTAAGTTGCTGGCTGGGCTCTAACTTGAAGATTCTCCTGCCTCAGCCTCCCCAGTAGCTATGATTACAGGTGAGCGCCACCATGTGCAGACCCACTCAGCATTCTATTCTTTCATACTGGTCTTGAGCAGTTCCCTTCCTTGTCTGTGTCTCACTGTTCTTTTCCCTGTCTGTGAGCTTTGAGGGCTCAGGGTTCCCTGTGTTACTGAGGCACAGAAGGGGTTCCTATACCCCATCTCTCAGTGTGGGCAGGCCCCGATCCAGGGAGCCGAGAGAGCTGGAAGCATGCACAGGTGGAAAGCAGGAGTGAGACCAGCATTCTCTTCCTCCTAAATCCTCAACCCCCTGCTTAAAGCTCCTGAAATGTGTTTTCATTTGCCAGCTCTCCACAGAGGGTCTTGAGGTCAAAGGGCTGGGGTCTATTTTTTCCCCCCTCTATCGGGGATTGAACTCAGGGTCTCGTGCCTGCCAAGCAGCCACGGCACCACTGAGCTTCCCAGCCCTGGGGTCTGCTTTTGATCTACCTCTGAAAAGCTGTGTGACCTTGACCCAGTCACTTGCCCTCTCTGAACTGTAGTTCTTGCTTCCATAAGCAACAGAACCCTTTGGAGTTCATTTTAGAATTTTTTTGGGGCCTGACTCAAGGCTGGGATGGGTTTTTTCTCTCACCTAGAGTATCTGGGTTAGAAGCAGGGTTAACCTTCTCAGGTACCTTTAGACTTCTGTTCCCGGAGTTGGGGACAATATGAAGGGGCTGAGCAGGCTGTCCCTGTCCCTGTCCCCACCATGCTCAACCATGTTATACTAAACCGATTAAGGAACCACGGCAAGACCCAGAAAGCTCCCTGGGTTTATGCAGGACAAGTGGCTCAACCATCGTCCCCTGAGGTTCCCAACTCCTTGCCAAAGTTCTTTATAGTGAGACTTCATAGCAAGCACCAATTTGGTTAATTTAAAAGTTGGGGCCATTCCAGTGACTGCCCTGCTGATTTGGCAGGAGTTTTTGTTGTGGGTGCCATTTCTGTTTAAAGTCATCTTCCCTTTTAAATTCTGATTACACAGGGGGAAAAAAGTAAGTATAGAGAGATATGGATATGATTAATGTTCACTTGAAATTCAAAACCCATCTCTGCGATAGGAAGAAACTTTCCCACAGTAACACACGAAAGCAAAATTCTAGAATAACACAGAAGATAGAAAAAAACCCCAGAAAGATAGTTTGCGTTTCTGTACATTACAAAAGGAAAAAAAAAATTAAGAAAGGGAAAAGAAATACAAACAAAAACAAAGTAACAGGAAAAAAAAATGACACAAACTTCCCCACCCTCTTCCCTTGCCGGCTAAACAAGAAATGGAATCACAATATTACCACGTTTCAAATGGGAGGCTAAAAAACAAACAAAAACATAGACGGGGTTAAAAATGTTGAGCTTTTCTTTTTTTTTTTCTTTTTTTTCCCTCTTTGTTTCTCTTTTTTTTTCTCTTAAAAGGTAGCGTCCAAGAATACCACCCCCAGTATTTTTTTCCCAAAGACACTATTTATCACTTGCAAAAATCAGTGATACCCAGGTCTCCCATTTCACCTCTCTGGCCTTATTTAACTTCTCTGAATGTCTTTCAGGCAAAGAGGGGGCAGGGTGCAGGTTAGAGACCCGGATGTTCAAGGTCACAGACCTCCCAGGGCAGAAGGGTTAGGGATATGTAGAGCTCAGGCCTGGAGAAAGAAGTAACAAACAGAGTGCTATTTCTTGGAAAACTCCCAGGGCCACATCACAGCAGGGTCCCGTTTTGGGAGGCTGGAGGCTAGGTCCTCTGGCCCACAGACTCACTGAAGGAACATCTGTCTAGATGCTGTGGTCTTTGTCCCCACATGTGCAAGCCCCTTGTTTCGAGAGTAGTTTTGAGACAACTGTCCAAGCAAGGGCAGTGTCCTGGAAAGGGCAGATCATCCAGCGAGAGAGTTGCTCAAACCCAGGGTCTGGGAAGGGACTTACTCTCCACCCTGGCTAAGAGAACCTGCGTTTCTGTCTCTGGAGGCCCCAGGAGATCGATGGGGTGCTCTAGAGGTGTTCGGGCTTCTGTGACCTCAGGGCTTTGTACCCGGGTGAGTGGGTGTCGCCATGCTCTCTTCTGGGCTTGCCCATCAGAGCCTGTGGTGCCAGCTCCTGCCATGGCTGCCCTCAGCTATCCTGTGTGCTCTCTCCTACACCCAAGACAGACCCCAGACATCAGCACGGTCCTCCCCTGTGGCCCAGCCATTGTCCCTGGAGCCAGGAGCCACCCCGGGGGCAGGCACCCTTTCTAAGTGGGTAATGTCCTCCAATTAAGATTAACTTTGAGACCAAGAACCTTTTGTCAGCTGCCCTTGACTTTCCTCTCTGAGGCCATGGGAACAAGGATATTTGAGAAAAGAAAGGGAGTGAAAGGAAACAGCCAAAAATCAAAATGAAACTGACCAGCATGTACATGTCCACTGCTGCGACCTAAATTCTGGGAGGGGCGGCTCTTTCCTCTTGGCTGGGGACAATTTGGAGGCCTGGGGATGAACCTGCCAGCCTCCCCACCCCAAGTCCCTATGCCCACCCAGTGCCCCTGCCAGCTCTGCAGCGCCCCCTCTGAGGGGTCTCAATCCTGCACCCTGTGATCAGCAGACAGAAGAGGTCTGCGAGCTCTGAATCCCCACCCGGCGACCATCAGCCCGGGGAAAGGCTGAGAAGCCTCCTTCCTCGCCAGCTCTTGGTCACCACGTGCCTTAGCATTGGAGGTGACTCCCTCCTGGAGGATGGGTGGGGGCAGTTTTGGGAACGGTGTGGGTGAGTGGACACACAGCGGTCCCCTCGGAGGGACAGGCCGTGGGAAGTGGAGCGCCAGGGCTGAGACATCTGTCCAAGTGAGGGCAGGGCCCGCCCGGGACAGGACAGATTCTCTGGGGAGCAAGAACTTTAGAAAGAGCTCTTCGGCACCGCGGGGACTGAGATGGGGGCGGGGACCTGGGAAGGGGGAGGGGCCAATAGGAGGGTGGAGAGGGGAGGGCGTCAGAGAAGGAGCAAGGACTTGGTGGGGAGAGGAGGCTTAGGGCCCAGGGGCGCCCAAGGGAGCTCCTATCTTTCCACTCCAGTTGCTGACTGCGACTCCCACCGATGTCCACGTCCAGCTCCCCCTAATGTGCCCGCGGGGTTGGGGGGGAGGCAAGAGACGACCTTTGTCCCTTCCCAGCTCTGTACCCAACCAAGCGTCCTCGTGGATAGCCCCTCTCTGGCCTTCCGTTTGCCAAACTCGAGGGTGGCTCAAGCCTGTAGGCCTCCCTCACCTTGCTTCTAGGGCCAGGTGGACACAGACAACCGAGCCCTCCTGGCGACTCCCCTCTGAGCGGCGGGAGCAGGGGAGGAGGAAGCGGCCCCTCGGGCGACCCGCCCCCTGCTCGGCGCGGGAACCCTCCGCAAAGCGAAGCGTACGTACATCGGGCGGGCTG